CCCTGTGTGTGTGTGAGCCTGTGTGTGTGTGCGAGCCTGTGTGTGTGTGTGAGCCTATGTGTGAATGTGACTGAACCTGTGTGTGTGACCCTGTGTGTGTGTGACCCTGTGTGTGTGTGAGCCTGTATGTGTGTGAGCATGCCTGAGTCTCTGTGTGTGTGAGCCTGTGTGTGTGTGAGCCTATGTGTGAGTGTGACTGAACCTGTGTGTGTGACCCTGTGTGTGTGTGTGAGCCTGTGTGAGTGTGCCTGAGTCTATGTGTGTGTGTGAGCCTGTGTGTGAGTGTGCCTGAGCCTGTGTGTGTGTGTGTGAGAGCGAGCGCAGCATGGGTAGGCGGGGACGGGGAGGGGCCATCACCCTGGGTCCTATTTAAGCATCAAGCTAACGGGCCCCGTGGGTCTCGGCAGCGAGGCGGCACCGGGTGCCACAGGCAGGGTGGTGGACAGGTGCCGTGGCATCCCTCTCCAGCTCCACGTGGCCCAGCACCCCGAGTAGCGCCTGGTTAAGAGCTGTGGATCTGGCGTGAGTGTGGGGTCCCCGATGCAGGTGGAGGCTCGGGGTGCACACGGGCCTGTGTGAAGCTGGGCTCGGGGCAGAGCTCCCCTCCTGGGGGGCCGGGGTGGGTGAATGGTCAGCGGGTGGGTGTGCAGTTCCCTACGGGGCTGTGTCGTTGGCCTGGGGACGAGCGGTCAGCTCCCTGGCAGCTCGCCCAGACCAGTGCCGTGGGGGTGAGTTCCAGCACGTTGTACGCTGCCCCTCTGTCTTCAGCCCCTGCCCTCGGGCCTGGGCAGCTCAGGGACCATGGCAGCCGCGGTTCTGAGGGGCTGGCCAGGCAGGCTGCAGAGGGGCAGCTGGCCTGGGGTTGACTCCTTCCTTCCTAGGGAAATTGGGCTTAAACCCCAGCAGGAGGGACGGAGTGAGGCTGGAGGAGGGGCTCTGAGACCTCTGGGATGGAAGGAGCCCGAGTTTGGGGCAAAGGGGAGATTGGAGTCTGGGGGTAGCCCCCAGGTCCCCTGAACGTGTCCTGCTGGGACCCCGGATGGGGTCCTGAGCGAGGAGTGCAGGCCCTTCGTGCTGTCCAGAGCCTCACTCTGCACCTGTGGCCTCAGACCCCAAACTTCCCCCACAAGGGAAGTGTCAGCCCTTCACAGGTGGCCCAGGCTCTGGGAGGGGGAGGCTGCCAGGCCCCGGGCCAGTCCCAGGTCTCAGTCCCGGAGACAGGCTCTGCCATGGTGCCTCAGAGCCTCCCTGGACGGCCGTGGAGGCCCCCTCAGCCCAGCCCCGGCCACAGTGCTGATGGGGCCACGAGAGGCCTCAGGGCAAACCCCACTCTCCTTCAGGTGGACCCCCTGAGCTTCAGCCCAGGGGAGGCTGGAGGAGTGTTGGGGCACCTGTGTCCAGAGCAGTGGGGCCCCGAGGTCACACCTCTCTTGGGAAGGGCCTGGCTTCGTTCACCTGGCCCACAGTCCACCTGGGGGACCCCACCTGGGACCGGACGCTGGGGCTGGGGGCCGAGAGAAGGAACTGTCCCTTGCAACCGGGCTGTGTTGTGCTCACCCCACACCTGGCTGAGCCCGGGTCCTCCCAGCCACTCGGCCCCAAATAGCCTGGGAGTAGAGCCCATGACCTCCTGGGGGAGGCATCTGTACGCCCCCACCAGGTTGATGCTGGCTCCCAGCCCCCTTCTGCCAGGCCTGCAGGTCCCCGAGGAGGCCCTGAGCAAGTGCAGCCCCCTAGCTGGGGCTCCTCCACACCAGCTCTCCTTTCCCTCCAGGCTCTGGCGGGCTAAGAGGCCGCAGGAGAGCAGAGCCCTGGGGGGGGCGCGGTCTGCCGGTGGGGCAGAGGTGGGGAGGGGGGACCTGAGAGCCCAGAGCCTGGCTGGGGTGTCTCTCCTCCCAGCTGTCCCTCCCTGCCCATGACACCCCACGGGGTCCTCCTGGCCTTTGGAGACCGAGCTGCCCCACAGCCTGAGCCCAGCTCTGAAGAGCCCTTGGCTGTGCTCCAGGAAGCCAGGCTGGGCCTGCTGCTGGTGGAGTCCTGGCCCTGCTCCTTCCACTGTGTGACCTTGGGAGGCTGTGCAAGCTCTCCGGGCCTCAGTCTCCTCCTCTGTGCAACGGGCTGGTGGCGGGTTGTTGGGAGCTCTAGAAGTCACGCATTTCGGGCAGCGCCAACACCCAGTAGGTGACATCTTTGCTGCTGTGGTCTCTCCATGAGCCCAGCTCTGAGTGGGCCCCGAAAAGGCCACCTGCCAGCTGAGAGATGGACGGGCCAGGGCTGGGCAGGGGACTCTGGTTTCTGAGGGGAGGTGGACGGGGCGCCAGTTTGCAGCCAAAGGGTCCTCTGGAAGCCACCCATCCACTGTCGGCCCTGAGGGCCCTGGCCCAGGCCTGGCGAGGCTGGAGGTGGGGGTGGGCTTGCTCTGTTCTTGTCCTTTGGGGGGGCCCTGAGACCATGCCCTCCAGCTTCCCCTCCCGTGGATGTGTAAACTGAGGCCCAGAGTGGGGCTTGTGCAAGGTCACCTGCCAGTGGGACTCAGCCAGCTTCTCCCCACCTCCCATCCCTCTGGAACTGTGGCTCCTCCAAGGGCCGCCCTCCCTGCCCATCCTAGCATCACCAGTGGGATTTGCCCAGGCCTGGCAGGGTCACCCCATGGTCAGCCCAGCCCACCACCCAGGCTGCACAGTAACGGCGTCTCCCCGAGTCCCTGGCAGCCCAGTACTCCCAGCCTGGTGTCCAGGCTCCGGGCCCCGAGCCACCCAGAGCAGATGTTAGCACCTTCTCTCTAGCCTGAACACCCCACACCCAGGGTCCTGGCCCCCACACACTTGTTGTCCTCTGGGCCTCCCACTGGTCTAGGACCTTGTAAACATGTTGCCCAAGCCCCATGAGGAGTGGCACTGGGGTGGAACACAGGAGCCCTCACCTCCCCCAATTCGGGTTACTTGCCTTTGGTGATATGACCTGACATTACTGGCACCTCTGGGTCCACCATCATCACTGCCAGGGCCCTGGCACTAACCACTGCAAGTGTGTATGATGGCCAGCAAGGCTCCCTGCCTGCTGAGGGCCTAGTCCTTCGCTCTGTCACTCACTTGTGTTTGTTCGTTCAGCAGACACTCGTGAGTGCAACACAGGGGCCAGGACTCCAGAGGTGCACAGGCGCGGGAGAGCTCACTGCGGGGCCGACACAAGTGCCCAGTGGAGGCCTCCTGGGGGCAAGGGGCACAGGGAACCTGATGGGAGGTGGTGTGACCGCTGAACTGCGTTAGCATTCCAGGCTGGGCGAGTGGGGGTCATGGTGGCAGGGTGCGGGTGGCCGGGGGAGGGGCAGTGACATGTCTGGGGAGGGTGACGGAGGCCTGGAGGGGGGTGGTGCTGGGAGGAGGAGGAAGGGGCTGTGGGAGAAGGCGGCTATCCGCTCCAGGGGGCACGGGTTTGGGGTGGGCTGGCCAGCAGGTGGCAGATGGGAGTCCTGACCTTCACCCAGGCTGAGCAGCCCCCGACTCATGTGCAGGCGTCTGTGAGGGGCTGGTGACCACAGCAGGGGCCAGTTTGGCTGGCCCAGAGCCAGCGCTGACTGCCCCCGCCCCCACCCCCAGAGCATCCCTCGGGCCCCATCCTCTGACGAGGAGTGCTTCTTTGACCTGCTGAGCAAGTTCCAGAGCAGCCGCATGGACGACCAGCGCTGTCCCCTGGAGGAGGGCCAGCCCGGGGCCGCCGAGGCCACTGCCGCCCCCAGCCTGGAGGAGAGGATCGGTGAGTGCCCCCAGGCAGGAGCGCCTCCCTCCACTGTGGGGGGGCCCCCCCGCGAGCCCTTGCTCCTGAGGGGCGGGGCAGAGCAGCTGCAAAGTGCCCCTTGTCACCATGAGCTCCCGTCCCCCGCCGCCTCGCCCAGAGTGGCATCCTGGGAAACATGTAATCATCCTGCCTCCGGAACACACTGTGTCAGGCGCATCAGCCGTCTCGGAGGGGGCGTGGGAGGTGAGGCTTGCCTCCTGTCACCTCCAGAAGCCCCTGGAGGTGGGAGTGGGGCAGCTGAGAGCAGCTGGGGGTTGGGGTCGCTGGAGACGCAGCTGGGAGCCCCTGTGCCCCCTGGAGCGTGGAGGGCTGGGCTGGGCTCACAGCGGTCAGGGCTCCCGCCGGCCTGGCTTGACTGGCGGTGGGTCCCTGCCACAGCCCAGCCCTCGCTGACAGCCTCCCCCCAAACCGAGGAGTTCTTCGACCTCATCGCCAGCTCCCAGAGCCGCCGGCTGGACGACCAGCGGGCCAGCGTGGGCAGCCTGCCCGGACTGCGTATCACCCACAACAACCTGGGGCACCTGCGCGGCGATGGGGACCCCCAGGAGCCGGGGGACGACTTCTTCAACATGCTCATCAAGTGCCAGGTAGGCCTGCAGGCCACAGGGGCTCCTATCCCTTGTCCCAGGCTGGGGCTGGGGGATGCCCCTGGGGAGCGGAACGACAGACTAGCTCAGCCAGTGTCACCGAGTACCCACAGGTGCGCAGACCTGGGGCCCGCCTCCTGGGACCCCCCCGCAGGGCCCCCCGAGAAGGCCACCCCAGGACATACTCAGGCTGGCCACCCCTTACAGTGCAGGAGCTCAGAGCCCAGGGGTCGCCAGGTCCCCAAGGTCGTGGCCTTGGGGATTCCTCCTGCCTTCCACATCTGTACAGAGAAAACCAAGGGCCAGGCAGCACACCCAGAGAAGGGAGAGCAGGCAGGGTCTCTCCGTCCCTAGCGGGGTCCAGCCACCCACTGGTCTGGGCAGGGCAGAACTGCAGACAGGGTTCAGGGTCAGGAAACCTTCGGAGAAATGGCTGGGGAGGGGGCAGCAGCGTGGCCACTGTGCACGGAGCTGGAAGTTTCCAGGTCTGACATTCGTTCCCACAGAGAAGAGGAAAGCGCAGCCCTGGGCGAGTCCGAGGGACCTCAAACCCGGCCCCTACCGAGAACCCCCGAGCCCACCGTCCACACGCACGCACGCTCCGGCAGCTGCGCCGGCTTCCAGCCCTTCTGCGCCAGACCCTGCAGAGAAGCCCAAACGCCTCCTCAGCCCCCTCGGCCCCACGGGGGGCCCTGGGGAGCTCCGCACTGCAGGCCCCAGGAGCCTTGGCCCCCAGCCCTGTCCCAGGGCCTTGTGAGCACACCAGTCAGGGTGGTCTTGGGAGCAGGCCTGGTAGGCCGCCCAGCAGCTCCATCTCCTGGCCTGGCTCGCCCCACGCCCAGTGGCCATTGTTCAACCCACTCTCGCTGGGTGGCTGTTCTTGGGGTCTCACCCAGCCAGAGCACCCCAGAGCTGATTTCCCAGGCGGATCCTGGGAGGCCCAACGCGGGCTGACCAGCCCTCCTGAGCTGGCACTGCCGCTGGACAGCAGCCTCTGCCTCGGAGTTGTCTGTGGGGCCCCCACCACTGGGCCCAGGCGCTGAGACGGGCCCTCCAGGGCCTGGGGAGGGCGAGGCCCCGACCAGCGTGTCCGTGTCTGCTCAGTCCTCCAGGATAGACGACCAGCGCTGCCCACCACCTGACGTGCTGCCCCGCGGCCCCACCATGCCCGACGAGGACTTCTTCAGCCTCATCCAGAGGGTGCAGGCCAAGCGCATGGACGAGCAGCGGGTGGACCTCGCCGGGAGCCCGGAGCAGGAGGTGGGCGGGCCATCTGAGCCCCGGCAACAGTGCCAGCCTGGTGCCAGCTAAAGCCTCACACCCACAGCCAGGCCCGCCCCAACTCCTGGACGCCAGGGGGCGTCTCACCACCGTCCAGGATGCCATGGCCCCCCAAGAAGCCGAATCCTCCCGGGGCCATGGCTGAGGGCAGGCTCTGAGGCCCCCGGCCCTTTCCACTGAGCCCGACGCTGGGCACACAGCCGCCATGCGTCCCCCTCCCCAGGGCGGCAGGCCCAGCAGCTCTGGAGAGCCTTTTCTGGGGAAGGGCATACTTTTGTCCTGGGCCAGCCCCCACATGGTACACGGCGTCCTGCAGGCCTGCCCGACCTAGCCCTGCCCTCACCCCTGCCCCTGCCCCAGGCCGGGCCTTCAGCATGTTGGCCCCAAACCCCGGTGCTGTCCAGACCCTCCATGCCCTCTCCCTGGCCCCCTGCCCGGCTCCGTCCTGCCGGCCAAATGTGAAACCTGCCACCTCCCCCAAGCCCCGGAAGGTGTCCTTGAGGCCTCTCCTCCGGGGGCATTTCTGTCCTCCCAAAGCTGCCCGCAGACATTCTCTCCCCAGTCCCGGCCTCTCCCCGCAGAGGGCCCCCTCCAGCCCTCTCCCCTCCCTCCTACCCCGCTGGAGGAGGAGGAGGAGGAAAGCAGCCACAGAGCCCAGAGCCTGACGAGGCAGCGGAGGCAGGCCCAGGTGCCCCCACACAGAGCGCCCCCAGCCAGGCACACAGCCCTGAGCAGGCAGGGCCGCCCTGTCTCTGACGTGGCAGGGAGGGTGGGGATGCGCTGCCACCTTCCTCAACTCCAAGCCCCGCAGCCCAGGGACGGAGCGGCCTGGTCCCAGACACTCTGGCTAGCGGCAAGGGCGCCAGGGCGGGCGACAGGCCCGGGGTCTCCAGCTCTGTGGCCATGGGGGCATCGAGGGTCAGCTCAACTCAACCCCAGTCCCCTCCGTGAGCACCCAGCCCTCACTCCCAGCAGCTGGGGAAGACGACATCACTGTGTTGTCCCATGGGGTGGGTGGAGTTGGCCCTCAGCATCAGGCAGGAGTCAGGGCCCCTGGGGGACCGTGGCCCTCTGCTCTCACTCAGACCCTGCCTCGGCCCCCCCTCCACCTGGGGGTGCCTGCTGCCGGCCCTTCTGGAGCACTCCTGGGAGGGAGCCACAGCACGGCCCCACAGTCCTGCTCTCCGAGTGTGGGGAGGTGGCGGGAGCCCTGCCCCACAGCACAGCCCAGGGGGCTCAGCTCAGCGTGATGACTGCTCTGCGGGGGTGTGGGGGGCCCCTGAGGGCGGGCCAGCAGGTGTGGGGTCAGTCGCCAGAGCGCGGTTCTGCTCAGCCGCCCCCGTACTTGAATGTACATGCCTATTTATTCCTCACACATGTGTTTGCCATGTTGTCAGTAGGTCCTTTCAGACCCAAGAGGTACATTTGTTTTTCCCGGAAAAATAAAGTCTGCCAAGTGAATGCTGTCCATGTCAGGATTAGTGCTGGGTGTGAGGGGGTGTCGGTCCTTCGGGAGGCTCTGGATGACTGACCTCACTGGGTTGGCACAGGCCTGGGGCTCAGGCAGCACCCACCCACCCCCACACATCAGCTTGGTCCCTGGAGACATCCGGGGGTGGGGGTCTCTGCTGTGGGGGGTCACTTCATCAGTGAGGCAGCTCAGGCTCAGGGGGGTTAAGCGCACCCCCAGGAACACACAGCCAGCGTAGGAGCTCTTGGAGCCCATGTGTCTCCCAAAGCTGGTGCCTTCCCCCCTGAGCCCCTTGCCGACCTCCCGGGAGCAGAGGGCACAGGAACCAGGGTGGAGATTGCTCTGACGCTGTGACACGGCTGCTGGAGACGTGGAGTGTGCTGTGGGGGCCGGCCCTCCCGAGAAGACACAGGTGGACCCCTCAGCCTTCCCCCTGGTCAGCCCCCATGGCTATCCACAAAGCCTTTCATGGACTGAGCCTGCTGCTGCCCCCACGCGGAAGGCTTTGTCTCAGGCGACCAGTTGCATGGGGATCGGAGTCTGGCTGGTCCACACCGCAAAGGCGCCAAGGAGCCCTGGGGCCTGTGCTCCATGGGGGGCTCACGTCTAGGGGACACACAGCAATGCTGGCAGTTGGGGTGTGTGCCAGCAAGGCCGCCCCCACATGCACCCTCCTGGCCTTGACCCAATGCCCTGTTGGGAACCCCACTGCCTCCCCACTCACAGGACGGGGTCTGACCAAGGGCAGATGGGAACTGGGGAACTGGGGGGCAGCCTGGCTCCCCACCTGCATCTCTGGGTTCTGAAGTCGGCCACAGACATGGTGTCTGGGGGCCCTCAGCACCCGCGCCTCAGGCCAGGCCAACTGGAGCCCACTTTTCAGGCTGAGACCCCACCTTGGTCTGCTCAGGGACCCACACCTGGGAGAGACACAGCCCGGGCTCCCCTGGCATTCAGAGGGGGACAGGTGACCCCGGAGGGGACGCAGGGGTCCATGAGGCAGAGGCCAAGGGCCCGTCCAGTGAGGCCTGGGGGAGGCTGACCAGCGGGCTGAGGAGCGAACAGGAGACTTCCACTCCAGAAGGGCCCGCTAGGGATGCAGACTGACCCTCAGAAGGCCGCAAGAGGGTCACACATACTACACGTGTGTGTTCCTGACAGCATCAAAAACAAAAGACCATCAAGAATAGCTGGCCAAGGCCTAGTAGCGGCTGAGCCCCCGAGGCGTAAGTCCCCCGCATTCCAAGCTGCCTTTGTCCCGGGGCCCTCGCCCGTTTGGAGGAGGCTGCTATGAAGTCAGGGGCACCCTGGCCTTGTACGAGGTGGGCTCCCCAGACTGGACGCAGGTGGATGGAGCACTGCACTCGGAGGAGCAGGAGCAGGGCCCGGGTCTCGTACCCTGTGTACAGCGTCTGCTCCTCAGGCCGCTCCTATGGCTGTGGGCGCTCGACCGCCGGGCCGAGGAGAGGCAGAGTGTGGCCCACCATGAGGGGGAAGCCGGAACGGGACATTCACTGCACCCTAGCTTCTCTCGGGGTGGCCCTGCAGGACAGTAGAGCGGGAGCCCCCACGGGCAAGCCCGCGGCAGCACGCCCGGTCACCTGCTCTGAGCATGGAGAGCCGGTCGAGTCAGAATGCACGTGGATGCACGGGCAGGGGCTGGGGGCCTGACGCGGTCGGGGGCCTGGGAGGAGGAGTGTGGGCTCTGAGAGGAGGCACGTGGAAGGGAGCGGGCACAGGCGTGAAGATTTCTGTGGCACCAGTTAGCACCCAGGAGAGAGCCCTCACCCTGGAAGTTGCCCCAAGTGACCAGGCACGGCAGCCCAGCACCTGCACGGTGGGCAGACGAGCAGGGTGGGCCTGGTCAGGGCTCCCACTCACCAAGGCGACCTGGCCAGGGCAGCTGCCCACACCCTCGGGGCAGTGCGAGTGCATGGTTGGGCCTGCACGGAGCCAGCCAGCCACTGGGCAGCAGGTTGATTACGTCTGCCTCCCCTGGGGCCTGGACTCGCACACACTCTGGGCACGCGCTTGCCTTTCTGGTCCCAGTCCTGCCAGCCAGCAGAGCTGTGGCCCACCCACCCAGGACCTGCACAGGACCCATGGGCCACTTTAGAGCAAGGGAGGTACTGCTGGCTGGTGAACGCAATGAAACAGACTGTGAAAGTGCAGCTGAGGAACCAGCTTGGGGACGACACCGCACGAATACGGACACCCCAAACCAACAGCCGTCATAAGGGGCCATGTCCCCAGTAGCAGAAACACCCAGGGCCGGGAGCGGGGTGGAGGCAGGAGAGGCCCCGCACAGGTCAGTGACCCACAGTGCAGGGAGCCACATCGACCCCAGGAGGCCGGGGAGCCCCCAAGGGGTGAGGGCAGCCCTGGGGAAAGCTAGTCGGAAGGGGCAAGTCTGCAGGCAGGGGCTGCAGGAGGCGGTCAGGGAGCGGAAGGCGGCTACTGTTCCTCCTGAGATGGAGAAGAAAAGGTGACAGTGGGTGAGGGTGCGGTCCAACAGGGAGGGGCCCTGAGCAAGGAGCCCCAGGGGGCTGTCACCAGATCCCCCGCCCCCCAGAGTTCTCAGTGCTCCCAGAAGAAGGTTCTGCAGTCAAGTAGCACTGGGTACCACGTCCAGGTCAGCACGCTAAAGGCTCTGAGAAGTCCTGCAGGGAGAAAGTTGCTTAGTGTCCTCTGACCCAGTCCATGCCTCTTTGTGTCTCTGGAAATGCCACTGTGGGATCATGGAGGCTGGCCCAGACGCACAACTCCCTAATTCGACCCTTTGGAGAGGATCCTGGAATGGGGCTAGGGGAGGAAAGATGGAGGGGAGGGCAGAAACCAGAGAAAGCCCAACAGTGCCTCAAGATGGGGACTGGAGAACAACAGAAGCCTGCAGGGGCCACCTGTTTTAGAAGGCAGGTTTTATTGCTATTCAGGGGTGGTGAGGCCAGCAGATCAGGACACGGTTGCCACTGAAAAGACAGTCAGGGATACTCGAAGATCTAAGATGGGGGCATGCCTCGCCGTGGGGACCACACCGGGAAGCACGGGGGTGGGTCGGGAGGTGGGGGAGGGGAGAATATGCACAAGAGCCTTTCCTGTGGCTCCCACGGGAAGGGAGGATACGGGAAGCAGAGTGACCAGGCCTCCAGGTATCGGGGCTGCCCCTAGTGTGGTACCCAGCCCTGGGGTGCATGCACGGGCGAGTCTTTCACTCTCTAGGAACCCACCATCCTTCCCGGGAGGGGCCGTCCCTTCAGGGTCAGCAGGGACAGCTGTCAAAGCCTCAGAAATACAGACAGCAGAAGACGTAGCCGACACACACGGGCCTCAGTTTCCCTATCCACAGAGGGAGGAATTGGCCAGGGCGGCCCTCCTAGGTCCAGCTTGGCACTCTCACTCCCTGAGCCTCCCCAAACTCTGGTCCCAACCCTCTAGGGACAGGGAGGCAGCCAGGCCAAGGCCCAGCGCCATCTCCTCGGTGCCCCTGTGGAGGAGGCCCGGGGCTGGCTCAGCCCCAGAACAACGACAGTCCCCACAAATGGCACAGGAGGCTCTGGGTGGGAGTAATAGAGGGTTGTTCGCAGAGGGAAGGACAGGGGGTAATCAAGTCAAAGTACAAACGGCCAACGCCCCGGAGAACAATGCCAGTGCTGGGAGTGCCGACACAGGCGGGGACCAGGAGCTCGGATCCTGCCGGGACCCTGTGAGACTGTGGCTGGTGATTAATGCTGAAGGTCACACAGCCCAGAACACTTCTGGAAATAAACTCACTTTCATAAACACAGGAACATCCTGAGAAGGCAGTCAAACAAGGCTGGGAGACAAATCACAAGCCCCCGGGGGGGGGCACCCGCGGGGCACTCAGCCCCCTGCCCACCAGACGGCAGTCCTGGCGCCCACTCCCCTCTCTGCCACAGCCTCCTGGCCCGCCTGTGGCCACGGAGCGCAACCTGGTCTGCTGACTTTGGCCGGTGGCCAAGGGTCAGGGCTGAGGTTGGCACTGGCTCACCAGTGCTGTCTATGGGGCGTCTGGGGGACAACACGTGGTAGAGGACGAAAGAGGATCTGTGAGGCCTCCTTGTGTCTGGCCAAAGGGATGAGACCTGTAGGGGGATGCTGACCCCGCCCCCAGGGAGAACAGTGGCTAACTGGCGATCCCTTCCAGGCCTCCCCACTGAGCCAGCAAGATTGGGCACGACTGAGCCACCCCGTGCCTGTCCCGAGTCTTCTCTTCCTTTGGTACACCTGACAGGGTGGCACCATGAGCTTCTTCACCTGTGGATAGGAAAGCAGAGGCTCAGAGAGGCAAGGTGACCTGCCCAAGGCCACACAGCCACAGCCAAAAGGGGCTCAGATTCCACGTCCAGCCCCTTCCTACTTGGACATGGCCTGCATCACACAAGCACAGGGGCGATTCCTCCGTGCAGGGCGGCAGTGGTGGGCGGGGTCCTGCAGCTGCAGAAGTCCCCCGCCAGCAGCGCCGGGAGGGAGTTCCTGTGAGTTATTCTGACTCCAGAACCAGGGACAAAGGAGAGCCCCAGACCCCAGCATCTGCCAGTGATGTCTGTTTATTGACAGAAAACAGGCCAAGTCCACACAGGCCCAGGGCTGAAGCATTCTTCTCAAAGGCAGAAGGCAGGGTCAGCTGGACTGTGTCTTGCCAGGGTGGGTGGGATCCTGGTCTTCACCCCCTTCCGGAGCAGCAGTGGATTTGGGGGCCCCCACAGCCTCTAAAACAAGCTCCAGGGCCCCCTCGCCAGCCACTCGGCACACCTTCTCCCCTCTGGCCGCCAGGATTTCTTCAATATTCCTGAGAGAGACGGAAGTGCCATGACACTCCAGGCCCCACACCTGTCCTGCAGCGAGGTCCCTCGAGGGCATCCCAAGGCCAGGCTCGAGCCAGGAGCACGGGTCACCACGCTGGTGTGGCATCAGGGCCACCACACGCTGGTCCCATGGAACCTTCTCCACAGCTCCCAGAGGCAGCTGCTATGACCATCCCATTCTCAGGGGAGAACGCTCGCTCAGAAGCCAAACTGAACTGCCCAGGGCCACCCAGCCAGGAGGCTCCTGACCGCCGCCCCCACTGCTCTCCATGAGGGTAAGGCTGACCCTGCAGGCCCAAGGTCACATCCACCTCCAAGTCTGGTGTGGTCAACCAGTCGGTGTCGGCAGAGGACGGGAAAGTGAGACACTAGCACCGCTGCCCAGTAGCAGGCACTTGAGAAATCTTTGTAGAGTGAAGGAAGGAACCACAGATGAAAAGGAGTCATTGCTTTAGGAGTCAACCTAGTCTGACCCCTCACTTTAGAGGAGGCCTGTGGCCCTGACACGTGACGGGGTCTGCCTGACCCGAAGCACGTCAGTGAGGGCGGAGGTCAGGCAGTGAGGAGGGCCACAGGGGGCTGAGCTAGGGCAGAAGACTCAGCAAATACAGACACGACCCATGCTTGAGAATACGTACACTAAAAACCTACTTGTGGTTTACCTGAAATTGAAATTTAAACGCTCTCCTGTACTACGACTGGAGTGGTGGGCTCTATAAACCACATTAGGGAGAGGGTACCCCAGGGGTGCTGGGTGAGGCCTCTGACCCAGGACCCACCAGGCCAGCCCTGGGACACAGGCCTCCGCCCCCGACCCTGCCGAGGTGGCCTCACCTCTTCCCCTCCAGGTCCGAGAACCAGCCCAGATTGTCCGCGATGATGTGGTGGTTCTGGCAGCCAGGGCAGGTCACAATGACCACGCCCTGGTGATAGGCCAGCTTGGAGATGCGCTTGGAGGACCGAGTGCCACAGACCTGGTGGCGAAACAGCGCAGGTGAGGCAGAGCGCCTGGCCCAGCCCCGCCCAGGAAGGCCCCGCCCATTCTGAGGATTGGCTCCACCCCAGGGCAGGGCCAGCCCTCTCCCGGACGGGTCTGCCCACTGAGGGACAGCCCCCCCGCCCCCCCATCTCCCAGAAGGCTCCGCCTCCTGGATAGCCCCACCCACCTTCCAGAAGGCCCCGCCTCCTGCGAAATAGCCCTACCCCTGGGGGATAGCCCCACCCATCTTCCGGAAGGCTCCGCCTCCTGGATAGCCCTGCCCCTGGGGGATAGCCCCACCCATCTTCCGGAAGGCTCCGCCTCCTGGATAGCCCCGCCCCTGGAGGATAGCCCCACCCACCTTCCAGAAGGCCCCGCCTCCTGCGAAATAGCCCTGCCCCTGGGGGATAGCCCCACCCATCTTCCGGAAGGCTCCGCCTCCTGGATAGCCCTGCCCCTGGGGGATAGCCCCACCCATCTTCC